ATACTACATATTTATGTGTTAGAAGAAAGTAACCACACACTCACTTGATCAGAATATGATCGAACAGCACTACGGCTTGTAGAAGTAGTATTCTTCGGTAGATCTGGAAGATTTTCACGAAAACCGGGCTCCTCGCGGGTAGAGCTTTGGCTCAGGAATTTTACTTCTCGGGATCTTCGGGGCTTCGGGACTTGCTTCGAGGCTCGGGATTAATATCAGGGCTTCGGTATATTTCTTGCACGAAAAATGAGGCAAAAACACAAGAGAAAGAAAGAAAATGAGCAAAGAAACTCGGCAGCCTCGACTTCCTTTTATAGGGGCTGAAACCTTCGATTACGCTGGGCGTAATCTTAGGTACGCTGGGTGTAACCCGGATAAGGCCGCTGAATCCCCCCTTCGGATAATATCCGAATTTATATTTAAATTAAATACTTTAATTATTTAATAAACTTCAAAAGTTCATATCTTCCTCATAGGAGCTCTGTTTTTGACGTTCTTTATTTCCACGCGTAGGTGAGACTACGCTCTAAAACTTTCGTTTAGATTCCTTCGGCTAATTTTGAATTTATTTTTATTATTTATTTTTAGTAGGCCGGGACAGAAATATTTCGTTATAAATTCATAACTTCTTCATCCGACACCCATTTTCGTCTGTCTTTTTACCGTTGGAATACTATCGATGAGATCTTCGATTCTCATTTAGATTCTTTTGGCTAAAAACCGCTTGATCTCAAATCGAGTATTCGGGTTGCATACCGCTAATTCGAAACTTTGAAAAATCATAACTTCCTCCTACGAAGTCAGATTTGGACGTTCTTTTTATGCATGATCACGGATTGAACTCTATGACTTTCGTTTAGATCTCTAAGGATAAATATCGCTCTAACATAAATTCACTTTTTACGTCATTCAGCGTCTTGCCGGTTCCGTCGCGAAACTTCGACAGGTCATAACTTCTTCGTTATAACTCGGATTTCGGCGTTCTTTATATGTATGGAATCCTTGTAACATATACTACAACTTAGTTAAGATTATCCCTTCAAAATAGTCTTCCATCAAAAAGTCATTTTTGATGCTTATTGTCCTTAAATTGAAACGTCTGTCTTTGTAACCCGTATTGAAATAATAGAAGTGTATTATTTGAGTATTATGTGTTTTGTGCTTAGTTGTGTGTCTTAATTGAATTAAGAATGAAAATAAGCATCAAAATAAAATTTTAAATAAAGCCGATATATAGATAATGTTGTAGAACTTGAAACAAAGTTTCCGAATATATAAAGAATGTCGAAATCCGAGTTATAACGAAGAAGTTATGACCTGTCGAAGTTTCGCGACAGAACCAGCAACGCTGAATGACGTAAAAAGTGAAATTTATGTTAGAGCAGTTTCTTATCTGACACAATCTAAACGAGAATCGAAGATCTCGTCAATGGTAGTGCAACGGTAAAAAGACAGACGAAAACGGATGTCAGATGAAGAAGTTATGAATTTATAACAGATTTTTCCTATCCCGGCCTACAAAAAATAAATAATAAAAATAAAGTTAAAATTAGCCGCCGGAGTCTAAACGAAAGTTGTAGAGTGTAGTCTCACCCATGCGTGGATATAAAGAACGTCAAAAACGGAGTTCGTATGAAGGAGATATGAATTTATGAAGTTTCTAAATAATTAATATTTATTATTTAATCTTTATTTCGGATGGATATCCGAAGGAGTCACCGATCTGATTCGAACAACACCCAGCGTACCCCGACACATGCACCGCCTCGCACTCAAGTGCTCCGATGATGCATGCAGTGACGTTTCGCACTACGCCCCTCGTAGAGCATTACGCTGGGCTTCAGCCTCTATAAAAGGGCATGCGATGGCAGCCGATTCTTTTGTACAATTCTCTTCTCTCTCTCTCTCTTGTTTTACCTCGTTTTACGTGCAATAAATATCTCGAAGCCCCGATATCATTCCCGAGCCTCGAAGCAAGTCCCGAAGCCCTGAAGATCCCGAGAAGTGCATTTCCCGAGCCAAAGATTTGCCCGCGAGAAGCTCGATTTTTGTGAAGATCTTCTAGATCTACCGAAGAATACTACTTCTACAAGTCGTAGTGTTGTCCGATCATTTTCTGATCAAGTGATTGTGTAATTACCTTCTTCTAACAGATAATTATGAAGTATTTTATACGAAATACGTTTTATGTGTATATTTTGTTGTTATATGTGTGAATGTATATTCACTTTCTTCTATCTCATAGATATGATTTATTCTCTATGAAATACGTGTTATGTGTATGTGTCTCATCTGTTGTTTGGAATATGTATTGAATGAGAATGCTATACAGGTTTTAAACTATGTATAAAAATATATATTTTTATCTACTAATATGTTGGGTAGAACATGGGTAGATGGTTGATGTGTGATAAACAGATGAGAGGCCTCGATGTTGTTGTTGTTGACCTAGTCATCTAGCGGAGTATGGATGACGATCACGGACTCTTTCTAGACAGTCCAATGGAACGCTAGCAGGTTCATAACCTGTAGGTGTTGTGAACGATGTGTTCACCGATGTACTCTATCCCCCTCATGGTTGCCTTCAGGACATCCATTGTTGAGGAAACCCCTTAGCAGTAATGTCCGTCCCGATGAAAATCCTAGATTAGATCCCTGGTAATAGATGTTTTAGGGATGTAAAGTGAGGATAACGGGAATGGGTAATCGGGTCATTGTTGGTTGGTGAAATTAAATATATTATTTATTGTTGGTAGAAAATCCTATATGCTCACCGGGCTCCCAAGCCTGACCCACTTAGTTTTTTTTGTATTACAGGAAGTGGCGCGAGGGTATAAGATGGATGAATCATTAGGTTGTTTTGTTTATGAGCCTGTATATGTATATAACTGTTGTATGGTTTGTAAAATGTCGTTTATGCTTTTTGGTCTGTATCGGAACATGACATCCCGAATATTGTTACATAATGAAAATGCATCTCTTGATGAAATGATTTGATAAACTTTATTTTATCATATTTTGTTTTGGGAACAAATTCCACAACTCTTTTAAATCAATGGATTTACTCTAAAATTATTTTAAAAGTATAAATGAAACCGGTATTTTCTGGCCGTGATTTTGGAGATGTCACATTTTAGATTTAGTTATCGGCTAAATACCCCAAATTTCGTTTAGCATAGATGAACACTAATATTAGGCATTGATTTCGAGTTTTTTGGATTAATTTATGTTGGTTTTTACTTGTGTTTGATAGATGAATATCTTGGCATGTTAAAGTTATAATCCTTATTACTTATTCTAAAAGTTTTGTGTAGTTAGATAACCATTCTAGTTGCATGAACTTGATACCTAGTTATTTATGATCATTGAATTGTTAGATGTAGTGATTAAACAAATCCTAGAGTTAGGTGGTAATAGTTAGTTATTTTGATTGTGTTAGAGAGCATTAATTATCCATATTATGTTCTTGAATTTCTTGTCTTGATCATAGATATGTAATAATTAGATATTGTCATTCATAGTACAAATAATTTTAAAATCAATTTAGTATCAACTAGTTACAACCATTGTAATAATAGTTCATGAATTGATCAAACACCAGGAAATCGGAACAATATGACTAGTGAATTCATAATTTGATAGCCACATAAATAAACCCTCTGTTAGAAATCAACTATAGGGTAAAGGTGATTTGAAGCTAAACGAAAGTGCTTTTTAATCTTGGTTTAAAATCGTTTTATGTTTGCTTTCTTTAGTTTAAAGTAATATTAATTAAATGCTTAGTTGATATTTAGGTTTTTCTGAACTTGCAAAATTAGATTAAAAAAAAATCCCCAAATTTATAGTTTATTTTCTTTAGTTTACTTAGTAGCAGTTATTTCTTGTTGAATTTTCCGTTCTCTGAGTTCGACACCCTACTTACTTTAGTTTACTATTATGCGATTATGTACACTGTCTATTTGTGAGCTGGTAAAATTAGTTAGGTTTTATAAATATTAAAACTAATGGTATAAAAATAACACATCACTACCAAATTTTTAAATTCGTAACTTATTTGCTACATAATGAAATTATATAGCTACTTTTCTACAGAACTAGGTCCTATAGAAAACCTGTAACGAAAATTTTCTACATAACTAAATTTAATAGCTTATTAATTTCATACATGATGAAAATTCATAGCTATTTTGCTACGAAATTTTGTTATAGATCTAAACATCATTAGATATTGTTACCAAATATAAGACAACAATATATTTCATAATTATTTTGCTACAAAACGAAAATTTGTAGCTATTGAAGGGAGACAAAGATCTTCACCGATGTATATTTGGCAACGTACAAAGGTATAAAAAGTCAAGAAGATTTTCTATACATTTAGTTATACCTTTCACTAAAATGCATTATTTTAGCCATCCAAGGTTTAAGATTGTACGCTTCACAAGAAAAGATTGTTTCCATGCGACGAAACATCGAGTATCATCGCCACGATGTTGGGGTTAGTGTGGCTACTTATATGACCGAGTGTCTTGTATGATATATGTATGTTTCCATATATGCATATTTGAGATTGACTCGTTGTGTTGATGCTTGTGTTGATGCTGACACTTGTTTATTTTTTTATTACTTTCACCTTGCATTGGTATATGTAGTATGATTGATGTCTTGGAGAGGATGATAAATTTTTGGGTAATTTTATCTTAGATGTTGTATTAGCGATGATACTATCTTAGATATGTCTCGAGTTTTCTTCTACTATTGGTTTCTGCAAACATATAATTTGGTGCAGTTTTTTTTTTTTTTTTTAATTTTTTTTTTTAAAGATTTTTAAGTGACTTTGGTGATGTTTTCAAATAAACTAAAAATAGGACTTTTTTTGTATTATCTTGTTATGTTTTCAAATAAACTAAAAATAAAACTTTTGTTGCATTATCTTGTTAAAAGGTGTTAAAAAAAAAAAGATAAAGTGAAAAATCACGATGTTACACCACGTTCCCAAAATGGATAAAAAATATGGTAGCGAAAAAAATGGTTCGAAAAGAATCACAATTTCGAAGACAAGTTACACTATTTCATCACATGTACATTTTGGACTTGATTTGAATGAAGATGATGCACTCGAACTTGAAGAGGTAATTCGCTCGATGGGTCAACAGGATATTCCAATTATTAATTTGGAATACGAATCTTACTATATCCAAAATATAACCTACGGAACAAGAAGTATCATCCTCCAAGATTACGACGTTTTTACTGCCGTTCATTGCCCGAGGATGAACCATAACATCACAATCAAAAGTTTGCCTTTCATTTTCTCGGATCAGAACGTGAACCTAAGTATACACTTTAATTGTAACCGAGTTCCTCATTTTGCTCATGAAATACTGTGTCTGAGTTCCCGGACTAATAAGTCGTGCGTTAATAGTGTGCATTCCGAGCCGGCGGATTTCAATTGGGATGCGTACTCATGCGATGACGATGTTAGTGTAACGACGGTGTTGGATGTATTTCGTTCAATAAATGAGCTGGGGATAGAATTCATCAGAGCATTGAGGGGAGGATTCGAGCTACAATGGTGGGAAATAGAGGATTGCGAAATGTGTGAAAACTCCGATGGCCGGTGTGGTTACAATAATGATACAAGAGAGTTCATGTGTTTTTGCTCCAGCGGTACGAGCACGAAGGGTGACTGTAAAGGTTCGTTCACTAAAACTACTCGATTCAATTTAAATTCCACATTTACCTCCGTTTTAGGCAAAAATTACCACTTTCGGAAGTTTAGAAATAGTCAAATGAGTACATTAACTAACGTGGATGACTTAAACAAGTCGTGCTATAGTCAACGCGTCTTCAAAAGTCAAAAAGTCAAATTAAAAAAAAAAAAAAAACTTTTACTTGCTCAAAATGATATTCTTTATTCTTAAACGTAAATTTTGTTCCCAATTTTTTTTTAAACTTCATCATCTAAGCTTATATAGTTATATGTAATTTAATTATAGTATTAACTGATGATAGCTATAAATTTTTATGGTATCGGTTCTATTACCAATTTATGGTCCCGTAAGAAACGGACCGAACATTATATAAGTCTCTAACTAACTGCCATAACGAGAAAATTTGAATAATAAGAGTCAAAATCTCGTTTTCAATCAATTCATAATAAATATAATATTCAAATTTAATGGAATAGTCAATAATACAAAGAGTCGAAACTAGCAGCAACATATTCTTAAACCTAGCAGCTACAAATTCTGCATTTGGATCCCTCCCTCCCACATGCGTGTTCATTGAGACCCAATGATTCGATTAGCAATTCTACGTTTCAGTATACTTTATTTAGTTGCTTTCCAGATTTATAAAGTATTTTTTTTAACAATTGATAAAGTTTAATTGTTTTTTTGTACAAAGTAAAAACTATGTAGTTATATCCTTAGCCTAACATTTTTTAGGCTAAAAACAGTGCTAAACCTGCTAAAACCGGTGATACTTATGTTTTTTTAAACATTTTGGAAACACTAACTGTATAATGTACATATAAAAGCTTTAATGATGTTTTTTTTTTTTGAATAAAACTAGAACTTTATTACCAACTTTAATGATGTTTTTTGAACCTAACTGAAACTTTATTATGTTCCAAAGAAAAGTCGTTTTCATTGAATGTTGTATGTTGAGACTTGAGGGAGATATTTCATGTCTTTTGAGATCTACCTTACAATATAAGATAAAAAGCTAAAATAAATTATTTTAGCTTTTATAAAAAGAAAGTTGAGTCTTGAACCCCTTTCATGCTAATGTCTTGAACTGAAGAAAAAACTGTAAAATTTGATCAAAATTATCATAATTGATTAGTTAACATATTGGTTAACGGTATTAAAAAACACAGAAAAACATCATCAACTTATCAAATTGTGAAAAACATAACGTAAGGAAAAAATGGTTACTCATATTCACAGCAGTAGGATAAATTGTTAGATGTAAATCCACCTATCCCATTTGAAAATAACTAGTGCTATTTGTGTCGAATTAACTATTCATTTTCTAGTGAACAACTTGAGCCTCCTTAAGTAGACGAAACACATTTGTATAATAAGCTTTCATTAAAAGCATGTTACTAAGTTAACAGATAAATTGATTTTTAATGTCAATTAGCACTATAAAAATATAAAGTTACTGAAAACCCAAAAAAAAAAAAAAAAATTAACGCAAAAATACAAACTTTACATGTATTATAAATAGAATCCAGTGTTTGTAGTCGTTGTTTCAAGTTTAACATTCCAAAAACCATGTCTTGCCTTCTCCACTCGCTTTCCCTCTCTCTCCTCCTCCTCATCCTCTTCCCCTTCTTGTTCTTCATCTCCATGGCCGATCAATCTAATGATACGCGTTACCCCAGCTGCCTTTCATACAATTGCGCAAACCTCACAATCAGTTACCCTTTTTGGAGGCTCGACAGTGAAACCCCTACCCAGTTCTGCGGTTATGAACATTTTGGGATCAATTGCTCCAACAATGTTCCAGTTGTTTATTTCGGAAGCGATTCTTATTATATCCCTAACATAAACTACGAATCTAAGATTATTGTCCTTGTGGACTACGACGTTTCTCCCGTCGTCCCCACCGTCGCCTGCCCGAGGGTACGCCATAGCATTGATTGGGGAGATATGCCTTTCAATTTCTGGGGGCAAAACGTTAACCTAAGTTTTCACTTTAATTGCACCGGAGTACCTGATTTTGCAAGAGAAATACCGTGTTTGAGTAACCCTACTAATAAGTCGTGCGTTAATAGTTTGAATTTCGAGCCGGAGAATTTCAATTGGACGGTGTACTCTTGCGATGATGCGGTGGTAACGACGGTGTTCGATGTATTCAGTTCAACAATGGCGCTGGAGACGGAGTTCAGTAGAGCCTTAAGACAAGGATTTGAGGTAAAATGGGGGAGGACGGAGGACTGCGAAAAGTGTGAGGAGTCCGGTGGGCGCTGCGGTCATAATAACAGTACGACGGAGCTCATGTGTTTTTGTTCCGGTGGTGCGATCACTATGGGTCATTGTAAAGGTACCTTCGTTGAAACTCCTGGCTTCATGTTAAATTACACATCTACCCCTATTAAAAATGCAAAAACACATAGAAATAGTCAATGACCACATTATCATCCGTGGTAAAATTTCAATGGATGATATGCACAAATATCATTTGTTTATATTATATCTAGCTAGTTGATAACACTAGTAGTTCTACCGACTATATACAAAGATAAAATTTTGTATACTTTAATGCTGAAATTAAATATAGTATTTATATCTTCCAAATTACAATATATATTATATAATCAAGGAAAAAATAGAACATCATTATATAAATAAATTTAACTTTAATCATAAATTAATACTCATTCTAATCTGTTATAATTACATAAGTAGTTTGTCATTTCAATTTTCAAATAATTTATCGTAAACTTTAAATCCAATTTCAAATTGAATAGTCAACTATCTGAAAAGTCAAAACTAGCAGCTAAACGTTCTTTCATTCCTAGTATCTGTCTCCATGGAAATTTCAAGCTATCACACTTCTATTGACCATCAATACCTTCAATTCATCTGCTCAATCTCCATCTTCATCTCAAACTCTACATCTTGACGATGATGTTTCCTTTACTCATCAGCTTCATTCTATTCCCAATTCTTTCCCTCGCAAACATCCAACAATTTAACGAATGTTCAACCACGTTCTACACTTGTGGTCAGGCAATCACGTATATGAGCTATCCCTTTTGGGGAAACGGTCGTCCATCTTACTGTGGACTCGAGGGATTCGAACTTACTTGCAGAGAAGACAACATCACCACTCTCCAAATCAACAACACAACGTTCCGTGTTGGTCGAATCGATCAAAACAATACTAAACTCACCCTCGCCCTTGATGATCTCTGGGAAGGTGATCAACCTAATGCTTGTTTGTTGAGACCGAATGAATCGATTGACCTTACCACGTTTCGCTACACTTTTTTTAGTTACGTTCCCGATGGATCTCTTTTTCTAGGGATATACTTTTCGTGTCTGGAAGATGTGGTTAGGTCGATTCCGAGTAGGAACAGGTTTAATTGTTCCGGTGACGAAGATGGGAGAGTTAGTTTCATTGGTAATCGATCGATTGCTGTAGGGGATGCATGTGAACGTGTGATTGGAGTGCCGGTTTTGAGGACGGCGTTTGAGGATTTTAACCGGAGTGAAACGATGCCGTTGCAGGAGTTGTTGTGGATGGGATTTCAGATGGAGTACAGGGTGGACGGCGGCGGAATTTGCTCCCGGTGTCAGAACTCCGGTGGGTCGTGTTGGTCCAATTTGAATTCCTCCATCCCTTCTTGCATTTGTCCCGATGGCGTTTCCCGCTTGGTATGCGACTCAGGTTTGTCGCTCGCTCAAATTTCTTTGATTATTTCTATAGAATTTTAGGAGTTCTTGAAAAAGATGATAAAAATTAGTAATGTTTAAAATAAATTAGTATAAGAAAAACTAAGAAAATATCTAGTTTTGAATCGAGATGTCACACAATCAAAAGATAATTCTGGTTTAAAATGTCATTTGTATACTCTCACTTTTTTAAAAAATAAAAATAAATAAATAACATAAGCACCTACAAATTAACTACAATCGCAATAAGAATTTACTAGCAGTATATCACCCGACTCATGTAGAAGTTTAATAGCTTATAGCTCACTAGTTACTTTCATAATGAATGTGTGTATTTGTAAGAAAAACTTAAAATTAATAATGTTTTATGGAGAACAAAAATAAATATGATTGTGACAAGAACAAAAATACTACATAATTTCCCAGCTCCATGTACAACCTCTCTACACGTCACTTCACTTCACATGCGTATTGCTTGTTTTTTATATTCGACCTAAAATTTTCAAGCTTATTTTCAATTATATAAATAAAAGGCATTCTAGCTAATAAACTAGATAGAGAGCTCAGGCTATTTTGACGTATCACAACTATTGCTCCTCTCATAGGCTATGTTTATTTTCATTTTGAGATATTGAGAGCTAAGGATATTTTGAGGTGTCACAAGTAGTTAATAAACTAGTTTATTTTCTGTTAGTTTTTCGGTTTTTCTAGAGAACCTGGTTTGCCTTATATAAGACATGAAGGGGGAATATGTTTCATATGGGATTCAAAATAAAACGAGTCATGTCAAAGGTAAGATTCAGTGACATACGTTTTGCGTCGAACACCCTAACAATCTAGACAACTTCCTACTTGTGTCTAATCTTCACAACGCTAAATTATAATATGTGTGTGTCTATATATATATATATATATATATATATATATATATATATATATATATATATATATATATATATATATATATATATATATATATATATATATATATATATATATATATATATAATTTCATACTTCACTTCAGTTCGGTTTTTATTGGTTTATAAATATACTAAAACCGAAACCAAACTTGTTATCGAGGGCTTTAATAAACTCAAACCCAAATCCTTGGATTCTATTTTGGTTTAGGTTTTGTCTGTTTTTCGGTATCCGAGTTTTGTTTTGTTTTGCTCACTATATTTAGGATAGATTTTCAAATAGCTTTTATATATATATATATATATATATATATATATATATATATATATATATATATATATCTTTTATTAATTATAATTTGTCATATTCATATTTTAGAGGCCTATTTTAACTATACGCAAAAAGCCTTCAAAATCTATGGACCGATCTGAACATACTCATACTTATTTGAGATATATGTTCAAGTTTTTTTTTATCAACATGCCACACCAGAGATCTAACATAAGAAGACCAATAACGTGAAATATTGCATTAAGTGTAACGTGAAATACTGCATTAAGTGTTATGTCTAAATAATATGTATGTATATTTTTTAGACCGAAGACTAATTTGGTAAGGTTGATTTGACGTGACTAAATAAAGATTTTAAAAGTGTTAAATATTCAACTAAACATGTTATACGATGAAATTATTTGTTTAAAAAGTTGAATATACCAACGACATTTCCGTTGACTCATTCAAATTTTATAAGGATACTATTTTATATTTTGCAAGTAATTGCAAGGAAAAATGATCATGGGAACTATTATTTGACAAGTGTTATTTGATAAGTGAAAGATTGAATGGGTCAGCCTAAGCGTGGTTTGTGCCTCAAAGTCTTTAGGTCAACTTCGAAAAATATGTCTCGATTTACTTGATTTTGTAATTATATGTTTATCTTTTTGTTTCATTTTCTTCTTCCTATAATTTC